TTTATAGTCTTGTGATCTAATTAAGTGGCTCTATGAAAATCTTAGCGTTATAACAGTTCTATAACAATAAGAAAAATGTAAGGTGAGTTGGATCTTTGAACGTCTTATTGACTTGAATTGTAGTGAAGAAGAAAACGAGTGGGGACAATCGAATAGGTCCAAACACGAAATTACAGAGCATCTCAATGAAATCTGAGAACCATATAGTAAATTGTTAATTTGAAAAATATCAATCCATTATCTCAAACTTGACTGTTTCTTTGGAAATATTAGTCCACTGTCCCAAATTTCATTGTTCCTACATTTTCATAGCAATTGTTTTCTGTTCTCGTTCTTTCCTTCTCGATCTTCTACTGAAATACATTCTGTGCCTGACCACCGTTATATACTACTTATGTGGATATAAGTAACCCATACCACAGAATCACTTAGATAAATTACATATTATCAGATGAGGGGCATTTGTGAGATAGTATCTCACTGAAGTCAGTTGTGGATGGTGGCCCAATTTCGTGGATTAGCTGAAATTAGACATTGACACCGTTGGATGCCGGCTCAGTGGTCTATTGGTTAAGTGATCGCGCGCGAGTCTAGTAGGTCCCAGGTTTGAATCCCGAGAGGCGGGATCGTGGATGCGCACTGCTGAGGAGTCCTACAATAGGACAAAACGGCCGTTCAGTGCTTCCAGGTTTTCCATGATGGTCTAGCTTCAACTGACTCATGATCTCAACTATTGAAATTACATATTGTTTTGAAGATTATGAACATGGTTCTTTATGTTTGCTAAGATCTATTGAGTTCTAACTGTTTGAGATAATATAAATGTTATTTAATAAATAAAATGAAATCTGAACTTTGAATACATAAGTAATATTGAATCTTTGTTGTAACCCTGGTTACAACTCATTATTATTATTGTTATTATTATTATTACTACTTCCGTTTCATATACATTTGTATTTGGAAACGTTTCTCTTATAGAAAAGTATCTTTTGATTTTCCTCTAGTTTTTCACAGTGAATTATTTTCTATATTAATTTAAATGATTCACTTTAATACTTGAATATTCAGTTTTAATGAAATAATAAACATCCATTTTTAATTAGTTTCTTCCATTTTATTCTTAATAGTCTTAGTTTATTATAGTAACACTTTAATCTTTAGCGACATACAGGTTGTAGAAACCAAATAACTTTATTATCTACACTTGATTGGTCAATTGTAAATACATCTCAGTCCTGCAGGAGCTTAGTCGCGGCCAAGATAGTTCAGTGGTAACGTTGTCATTTACAGGAAGCGCACTGTTGATCTCTTTAATCGTCTCAGATATACTTATTACCTCATTCTATAAGAGTTGAATCTTCCTAAAGTCGACTTAGCTAAAATCATGTATATCATAGGTTAAAGACCTACTGAAGCTCGGTTCTTCAGCCATGTTGAAGAACTGCGATTATTCCAAAGTGTGCAGTTAAAAACTCAGAGGAGACATAGTCAGACGCAGTCACGCTTGGACTACATCTTTACAAACGAAGAATTCCTAATTGACAACCCCTCATTGTACAAGTGACCACGCAGTCATGGCTTTCAACTTTATTAGCTAAACCGAGCCATAACATCCCACCAACAACAAGCGTCGGGATTATAGACGGTTGGATGTGTCAGCTATGCAGGCCAATCTTCAGAGTAGTTATCAGTCGTACTGGACTAGCCGGCAATAACAGTGACGTTGCCAACCTTCTGGAAGAACTATACTTTCAGATATTTCAACAAATTCACACGAACTGTATTGCTGAAAGCTCCATCTGCAACTCTACAGGACCCATAGAAGTGAAGCTGAGCGTTGGTTTGGTGTATCAGATGCTACAGCACCTAAACAAGGACGATTCTCCTGACCCGTATATAGTATTTTCCGTAATACTGAGGGAAGCGGCATCAATCTTGGCAAAGTGCTTGGTGTTATATCCTCGCATTCTCTAAGCCAAGGCATATTACCAGAAAATTGGAAGCTGGCTCACATTACGCCAATTTTTAAAGAAGGCAAACTCAGAGAACCATCAAGCTACCGACCAGCAGTACCCTACAAATTATAGATTCCTTGATATATGACGGTCTACCTGAATGCTTGCCATCCATAAACTTCTTTCCACACTAACAGCGCGGTTCTGGTAAGTGTCATTCCTTTATAACAAACCTGCTTACCGCGTTGAGCAAATGGACAACCAGCAACGAGTAGGTTGATTTCATTCGCCTTGATTTCTCAAAAGCTTTCGATATGGTTAATCATATCAATAAGGTCAAAAGAATAGATATCAAGTCACCACCGTTTGATTAGCTTAATTCACACCTAAAAAATCATCATTTTAAGGCTAGGCTGAACTTCAATTTTTCTCAGGCTACAGAATATCTTAGTGGGGTTACCCGGGGTTCATTACTAGGACCTATTCTCTTCTCCATTTTTATAAATGACCTTCCCCAACAAGTATCATCAGAGCTGTTACCTTCCGCTGACGATGTAAAACTATGGGAAGAAATTTGCGACTAAGATCAGCTCGCGATTCAGGAAAATTAGACTGGACTCCAAACTTAGGCAGATGACATTGGACTTAACTTTAACACTTCAAAGTGTATAGTGGCCCATCTGAGACATTTTGCAGACTATGTATGCAACTTAGGCAATCCACCTCTAGAGGCATCTCAAATTTAAAAAGTTCTATGAGTGTTGGTAGAATGCTGACGGAAGACTTACGCCAACTGCAACGAAAAGGCTTTTTGAGCAAACCTTGCACTGGTAACGTTGAGGCACATTTCTGGCAAATCTGACGGCAGATTTTCCTACTTAGTATTCAAAAGTTTTATACGACTCCATCCATAGTATAAAAAAATGGTATTTTCCCCCTCTCTCACAAGTATAAGGACTGGAATGTATCCGACGGTGAGCCACGAAATCAGTTGGTAGACTCGAGTTCAAGCCTTATCAAGAGAGCCTCAAGTCAGTGAAACTTTGTCGGCTAGAGTATTGGCGCTACTGGGGTGACCTAATGACATACAGCATCCAAAACACTTCCAGTCATCCACTTGAATATCTAATTAAACTAAGCCTCAACACAAACCTAAGGGGAACGCACAAGGACTGAGGTTAAAACATACCAGAGCGGATCAAAGAACACACTTTCTAATGCTAACAGTAGTTAAACTCTGGGATTCACTGGCGACTGAGCTAATCTAGGGACTTTCCAGGAGTCTTCTAAAAGAAACCTAAACATCCAGTAAAAGGCAAACAAAGGTGAACAACTGGGAAATGAAATGAAAAATGCCTTGGAAAATAAAGAGGAAATAACGGGGAGACGCACAAAAATGTCTGCTTTCTCGCCTGTCTGAGGGAAATAATGCTGGTTTGCCTCTTTATGTTGCTGTGTTTCAAATGTCGCTGAATAGTCTGCATAAATATATTCCCAAATGTCTATTTTTCGCCTATATACACGCCGATTTCTCTAATTTTGCTTCCACTTTAAAAACACCTGTGACAAAACCCCGAACGTCTCCTGTGTTCCCCTTCATTCCCACAACACAACATACGAAAACTGCAATCCAAGTAAAAAATGGTATGCGTTTGGCGAAATTTATTGAAAAGAAAAAAGCATCGTATTGTACAACATTATGAGTAGTTGACAGATGCCAGAGCATCAATCGTTATGTGATTTAACTGTAATTACCAAGTCTTATTGTAATTTGAAAAGATTTACAAAAGAAAGGACAGACGATGTATTATTAATAAGGCACGTGCACTCAATTTCAAGTGCATTTAAAATCAAACAGGCTTCCTCAACACTTAGTCAAAGAGTTTCTCATGCAAGTAAGAAAGTAAGCGCATGTTTAAAAAAATGTTTATTGAAAACGAAGTTGAACATGTTAAATATTGCACTGATTATTTCGTTTCGCAACGCCTGTTCGACTATTGACAATCACGATAATCTTATTGTGAATTCTGAAATGTAAAGGGAAAAAAGTAACGGCGATATCTGAATGATATGCCTCTCCACAGAACTAGCTACTTGAATCTTCACTTACGGTTATGTTTGTTAACATTAAAGACTGTAGTTATAGAGCAGTAGAGAATAGTTATCACTTTAAATTAGTACATACGTGTTCTTGTTTCCTTCTATTACGCCTTTTTAATTTGTCTCTCATGTCGTGAAAATAACCTTGTGTCGCTATATCATACAGTTTCACAAGATATTTTTGGTTGATAGACAATGACAGAGACCGATTAGTTAATGCACCTGTACTGTCGAAAAGGCAAAATTTGGGATATTGAACGTGGCTATTTCCAGCCTTCATCTCAGGCACATCCATGTCAAAGAAACCCGTCTTTAAAATCCAATGCATTTCTACGAGATTTTAGTGAGATTATTGCATTGACCTCTTCGGCTTCTCACTCTTTAGTAGCAAGGTGTTTTCGTCCGTCGAAGTGTTTATACGGTCAAGTTTAAACTTGACGGATTCTTAAAGACTACAGACATTATCTCAACATAATTTACAGGCATTTGTTCTGTTTCATCTTCAAATATACCTAGGTCCCTACATGGAGGCACGGATGATCTACTGCTGCTAGAAACGGGAGCCCGTTAGGCGAAAGCTTCTATTCCGTCCAGGACCGTTTGAAACCGTACGGAACAATTTAAACTTATAAACTTTTGAATTAGAATCCGATTTAATAACCATTCCCCCGACATCCTGATTTTTTTCTCGTAAGACTTCATAAGTGTGAAAAATCGAGACTTGGAACATTGAATAGTATTTTGTGTTTCCCGGATAGTCGCCTGGCTATCACCCGGGATGTACCAAGTCCCTCGTCACGCGCGGCAAAAATTGTTCTGGTTTTTATGTTTCGTCCTTGTTTCCATATCTTGGGGATTTGTATTCTGGACAGGAGCTGTAATAGTTAAGCGAAACTTAGAGTCCAACCGATAAAATATCATTCTTAATTTTCAAGTTGTTGAATGGAACTCATTGATCCCCAAAATCCTAGGCTTTTAACAAATCTCGAAGTTCTGAAGCTTATCAAAGATAAACTTGAATCTAAAAAGAAAGTCAGGCGCCAGCAAACGCTATTGTATACGGGCGCAAAGTATTTAAATACCAAATCACCTTGTAGCAAACAAGAAGAATCAGGAGTACAGGGATTTGCTAATGATGTCAAGGTATTTAATTTAACAAAATCTGAGATTCTCATGCTTATCAATCACTGTCCCAGTAGTCAAGTGGAGCTATCGGTAGTGAGTCCTATTGTTTTTTTTTTAACATACTTCCATGTATATGATAGATATACGTTCTCACCGCTAAATGTAATGTCATTTGTTTTTGTGTACATGTTACTACTAAACATAGATATTCTACTACAGTCAAGCTTCTGTACATTCCTTTTGAAGATAGTTCCGTCGAACGTCTTTGCAAACCATTCGGGGGTAACTGTCGATATTGTTATTTGTGGTTGACAGCTATTGGCACCCGATTACACATCTCAATTTATTCTCCAAAGCTTAAATTCAGTCACGTAATATAAAGCGTCATTTCAAAGATAGTGACTTTTTTGGAGCACCCTTGTATAATTTTGCAGAATCGTCTACAACAGAAGTATTGGGTTGACTAAAATAGTACTGTAATTATTCTCATAACTCCAGTTAGTCACTCACAGGTAACTTAGTTTTTCAAACACAAATCTAGTGCAGCATTGTTTATTTATCATCGGTTGCCCCAGCAAACTTTTACAGTATCTCCAGTCAATATAAATATTATGTAGATTGGTTTTAGTCATAGTCACCAGCTATATTTTTCAGCCACTCTTAATTGGTGTACTTCGTCGACCTCAATTAATTGTAAACAGTATCCAAGTCGGTCTAAAACTAATCATATGAAGTGAAGAGTTTGGTTTCTAATCATTTTATAATGGATTAGGTTGTGTGATTTTATGGACGGCATTTCCCGTCTGGTGCTTGCGTTTGTTTGACTATGAACTATAATTTGTGCACTTATTATATGACAGCTGCAATAAGTAGATTGGTGTAAAGTATTTGACTGTTTCTCGAATACTTGGTGAACTAAAATGTCATTCCACTATCCACATATTTACCTAAATAAGAGACGTTTTCAAACAAGGTGGTTGATTTATTTCCATCTATAGCTTTATAATATTGAATAAAGCCATTAATAATAATAATAATAGTTAAGGTAAAGATACTCAGTGATCGTGTTTGATCATCTGTTTCTTAAAAATTGCTTCGCTTATAACAGCTTGTAACGTTGGTGATGGTCTAAAAAATATGAGTCGCTGACACCTCTTATGTTGTCTACGTGATTTCCATATGAAACTTTCATGATACTAAGATTAGTTGAGAAAGGCAGTCAGTTTGTCAGCGGCCGTCTTAGTGGAGCTGTATTTTATGCTCTTCAGGGTCAGTAAGGCATATCTTTGGGGAGAAACAAAACCTATCGTGGATATTTATGAGTGATTTCCTTATTTTTTTCAATAATGCTAGGTGATTATCCACTTTCATTTATTCACATAGTTTTCATGTTATTTTGTATTGTGTTTTTCATGATACCTAACTTTAATAAGCCTTTGAAGTAAAGTAGGTCTAAGTATTTGCGCTATTTATGATGAGTTAGTCGAAAAACTTTTGTGTATTAATATAGGTGTACCATATAGTCCAACTGAAAAGCACTATTTTTACTCCACAACTCCTTCAGTTCATTTCAAAGCGTACCAGTATAAACCCACAATTACACGAAGCAAGTATATAGTGCGTAATAGATGGAATGAGAGAATCAATCTACTGAGAATGACACGATGTTTTCAATTCTCACTTCGTTGCAGTGACGAAAATTTTTTCGAAACATGGATCGACAAAGGTTGTCTTCATAGTCTTATCAATGTTTGCTTCAAGGGCCTAGTCTCGACTGTGTATATCAGGAATTTCTGGAAAATTATTTCCACTGTGGAAGATATTTAGTTAGATTACAGTCAATATTTTTCTTGGTTTTGATTTCTCGGTTTTAATGTAAAAACAGGCGTGTTTAATACTTTGTTGGAGTCAGCAGATTGTTGATTACATTTATCTGGATTTCTGTTGCAGATAATCAGTGATTTGGATTCTCGATTATCTAACAGTCAAACTGACCAACTCTTACAATTAGTAGAAAAGCATTTCCCTGATGGTGTTACTGCAAGTCAAATGATCAATTCCACTGGTACATTAGAGGCATCTGAAGATATCACATAATTATTACTACTTATATTTATCTCCCATCCTAACAAAAATACATTTTATTAGTCTTTCACTTTTCGTTAGTTTATTCTCTAGTCATAGATAGATAAGTATGGATTAATGTTTAAATAGTTCGGAACGAGCATCTTAATCAAGTTCTTGCAAACTACCAAATTTCGTCATGAGTATAAGACTAGCTTTATTTGATGAGAGCTCATTCTTTAAAAGCTGTACAAAACGTTTACGTATGTAGATTGTTTGCAAAGCTTTGTTTCGAAAATACCAAACCCTGCAGAGATTTGGTAAAAATATAGTAATTCACGGTACTCTGGTTCAAATATCTACCAACTGAAGTTGACAAGATATATATTAACGATCAGTAGCAGTATCACTGATAACGCGAAAAATTAACAAAGGATACGGTCTCATTGGATTAGATGCGATTAATGAATAAGAAGTATAAAATAATTTTACAATCCAAAATTTGAAGGAAAACGACGAGTAAATATATCCACGTTACTACGACAAATTTTGAGCCAAGATAGGTTATCTACCATTCATTAGGATTGCCTTCTGAATTTCGATCCGGCTCCTTAGATTGGTGAATGTATTGATTCGGGTGTCTCTTAATTATTTCTAATGAACTTCTGTTAGTCACCATTGCACGTTGGCGGCGGTGGCCAAGTCGGTGTAACACGTATCAGCCACTCCAGTGAATAAAAATTTATGGCTTCGTTAACCAATTTACCATATCTCTGGCACCCTAAGTCCGTCTGGTTGTTCCATTAGCACGTTAGTAGTTCTATGACCAAATATCAGCAGCCTATACCATAAGATTAAGAGGACTGAAGCTTTGCGTATTTCTTTGATAGATAGACGAATATTTTCCTGTGGAACTGGTGAACAACGCTGAGGTTTTCGTATCGGTCCCAGTGCTCCATCAGCCAATGACCCCCTAGGGCCGATGGTTCTGATCCATTCTACCCTTATCTTGAGAATACATTCACCACATCCCTAGGATCGAGCACATATAGTGGGGCGCGCCATATTGTTCCCGGGATGCTTGTTGAACCAGTGATAACCCGACTGCTTAGATACTCAGATTAAAGTAACGCTACTATCATCCATGCTACTGAATCCTGCCTTGAGGTATTTGCCCAGATGTCTTGGATATAGACTTTGTGAACTATCAAGCAAAACATTGAAGACACCAAAAACTTGACGGTGTAATCAGCACTCCCTATCCTATAGTTAGTCAGACCACTGAGCCAAATTATCTTCGCACTTCATTGAGATTGTCACTTACTTGTTGTATGTGGACATCTTGGGCTGAGTCTTTACACCACGTTTTAACATCAGTCTTAAGTCGGACGTATGCGACGACACCACATAACAAAAGCCAGTGTTGTTCCCATTTAGTTGGTACTATCACATCCGCTAAAACTGATGAAATACTTTGCATACCAGCTTAAGGCTTTATGAACCCAAAAGCTGTTTTAATAACAAGCATTAAGTTTGAGTTTTCAATTTAGAGAACAATGATTAGGGTTATGAAGATCCCATTAAGATGTAGTCAGACCAAGTAGGATGGATCTCAGTCGTACTGCACCTTACAATGCTGCCCCGACTGTTACTGCTACATTGACGTGGTGGTCTGGTTTGCCTATTGTGATGAACCAATCGGGCTATACTGGCTGGAACAATTGTCCCTCAAGGTTTTACCATGCCAGACAGGTCTATTAAAGGACAGTAAAACTAAAAAGGGTCAGAGGGCGAAGTAGTACTGTTTACCGTAGTGTGGCAGCAGTGAGTTGTTTCCCTCAAGCAACCACGATCTGTAGAAATTCTGCCTTTTCGTAATGATAGGGGTTAGAAAAGGTCAACCCTGAATATGTCACGTCTCACCCTACTCCACGAACCTCCGGCGGTAAGGTCCCAACAAGTACGCAGCTAACACGAAAATTACTCACAAGAAGGTCGTGTGAGACCGACCACAAGCAGTTGTCCTTTAGGCGCTGCAGTCAAGCTCTCAGGTCACCTCTAAACCAATTTTCTTTCCATGTGCCCAGTTTAGGTCATTCTAAACAGACGAGATTTCAACCGTCTATACAAACATTATGCTATTTGAAACGATTCTTAACCAACAGATGTTAAACCATACCGGTAGACGTCTTTAGAAGAACCCCCAAGGCCTATCAGATGGGCAGAAGTCAGTCAGTCAGTAACAACGTAGAACTTCGTACGTACGTACATCAGTTCGAGTTGCCACACCACATTAGCACAGAGATGCACTTGTCGATTCAAATCCCGTAGTGATAGAGGTAATAAGAGTATAAGCAGTAATCGGGAAGATTAGGGTTTGGAGATGTTATTTAAAGAGTATAATCCAGTGAAAGAAATTTGGAAAGAGGAAAAAAAGGACATGAAGAATTCAGAAGATTAGAGTTTGGGAGAACACAGAGAGTGGATGCACCTGCTCCATTGCAAACGATTTTGAGCCATGTCATTCAGGGTCTCTAACCATCGGTTGCTGTCATCTCGCGGTCCCCAACCAGGTAGTCTACACCTACCAACATGACTCAGTTCACTTGTCAGTGACTTCATGGACTTGTGCCATGTTTTGGTTTGGCCGCCCCTAGCTTTCTTCCAACCTACTCCTATACCACTGAACATAGCACGTCGAGGCAGTCGGTCGTTGGGCATACGTAACACGTGTCCCAGCCATCTCAACTGATGAAGTTTCACTACGTCATCAATTGATTTGCCATCCTTACCTAGTACCCGTTTCCTAACAACTGTGTTACTTACTCGATGGTCCCATGATATACGAACAATGTTTCGAAAACACCTATGATCGAATACTAGTAACCTACGAATATCCTCTACTCTTACCGACCATGTTTCACTGCCATAAAGTAGGACGGAACGAACTGCTGCACAGTAAACACGTCCTTTGGTTGATAGACGGATATATCGCCTACGCCATAAATGACGCAAGTTGGCAAAAGCTAGTCGAGCCTTCTGTATCCGTGCTGAGATTTCGTCACACACCAAACCACAAGGGCTGATGAGACTTCCAAGATAAGTGAAGCGGTCGACACACTCAACTACTTCACTCCCTATCACTAGTTCGGGTGTCGATGTAACCCAATCCTGAAGCAACATTTTGCATTTCGAGGGAGAGAATCGCATCCCGAACATGCTTGCATTGTTGCTTAGAGTGGTCAGAAGACTCTGCATTTTGTCAGCGTCTTCACCAAATAAGACTATGTCATCTGCATATTCTAAGTCAACAAGTGAACCTCCTGGTAGAAGTTCAACCCCTGTAAATTTAGATGAGGAGAGTGTTATCTCTAAAAGTACGTCAATGACAAAGTTGAACAAGAATGGGGAGAGTGGACAGCCCTGACGAACACCACTTGAGGTGATCAATTCTGATGACAGTTCGCCATAAGCTCTCACTCTACCAGTTGTGTTCGAGTAGAGAGCCTTTATAAGGTTAATGTACTTCTTTGGTACTACTTTCAGTGACAAACACTGCCATAGAACCTCACGATCAACAGAGTCGGATGCTGCCTTAAGGTCGAGAAATACTACCATTGTGGGGCGTCTGAATGTGTGTCTGTGTTCTAGAACCTGACGTAGTGTGAATATCTGATCGATACAACCACGTCCAGGTCGAAAACCAGCCTGGTTTTCTCTAGTCTGCTCTTCACGAGCTTTAGTTAGGCGTCGAAGTATTATTGAGGCTAATATTTTAGACACTATATTAGTCAAACTGATTCCTCTGTGATTGTCACAAGAGGACTTTTGTCCTTTCTTAAAAACTGGCACAATCAGTGATTGAGACCAGTCAGATGGGATTACGTCCAGTTCCCAAATTCTACCTAAGACCTCAGTTAATCTCATTGCTAATACTGGACCACCATCCTTAAAAATCTCAGGAGTAAACCTGTCAGGGCCTGCTCCTCTCCCTCGTTTCAGATTTCCTATGGCTTTTTCAACTTCGTTAAGGGACGGAGGACCTACATTAACTTGCCATTCAGGTTGACTAGAGATCGTGGGAAACCGAAGTGTGGCTGAAGGCCAATTGAACTGATCCCTAAAGTGTTCTGCCCATCGATCCAATCTCCTGGATTGAGAATGAATAATATGTCCATCTTTCTCTGAGATTGTTTCGCTAACGGTCGGGTTCCTAATTCCGGTTTCCTTAACGAGTCTAAACAATTGTCTGCTATTACCTATTGCCGCTGCCTTTTCCATCTCTCTTGCTTTCGCTACCCACCACTGTTCGCGATCATTGCGTAGACTTCTTGTCAGCTTGCGCTTAAGCTGACTCCGCTCTTCAGAAGGTCCAACCTGAAAACGTTACTTAGTCAATGATGGATTTAAAAGACAAAGAATAGGCCAGTTGTACAAATTTATTAACTAATGAATTGAACTGGCGGTTGATGCAATCTTTGGCCACATATCAGCGCATTCTTTAGCCACAGGACCGGTAATTGCCGAACCTGAAATAAAAAAAGCAGGGTTTACTTTACCGAATGACTTAACAAGTGAAAAGTTATGTTTTTTCTATTAAACGTTTCAAATTAACACAAGATAATGGCAAAAACCTTACATAGTCATTGTTCATTAAGATGGAAATGAATTAGGTTTTTTCTGAAAAGAATGGAGGATTGAGTGCCTACGTGAAACTGAAGTTCATCCAACTTGTCACACTAGCATGTAAAACTACTAGTCAGTTTGTAAGTGCTAACAGTACTAAAAGGGAGGTGCGTAAGGTCATTAGGCCTTATTATTTAATGGAAATAATAGGCATGAGATTTCATTCAGTAAAACGATTTACTGTACTTGACTAGCAGTATTACATTCAGTAGAAGATTATCTGTTGTTACTGCGTGGACTATCTCTTTGAAGTATCGAACTAGATTACTGGCTAATCAAGCAATACAGTTGTTAATGAATGCCTTAAACAGTAATCGTTAACAGACTAGGCAACCCAACAGCACGAC